ATATGAACATATAAGCTTGCCTAACTCTTTTATTCTTATTGACAAAAGCTTATATGAACCAAGCATGTTAAAAACCTCAACTCTTTCACATACTCGAGGTGGTATTATCATCAATCACCAAAAATGGGAGATTGAAAGCATCTAGGCCCCTAGTTGGGTTTTGGTGATTAATGACAATACGAGATTACTGTGACTAACGTGTGTTTTGCAGAGACAATTAAGTTAGGTCATGGTAATGGCAATTGATTGGGCAATCATGATGGTCATGCCCCTATGATATAAATCGTTTCGGATTTCAAAGGATGGACGACAAGGTTAAGGATGGACTAGTTCTAAGTGTCGTTTGGTGTTGAAGAGACACTTAGAGTAGTTTAGGACTTTGTTTTTCCTTTGGCCATACTATTAAGGGGGGTATGGATGGGTAGCTTGACCTAGGTGAGTCTAGTGAGTTAGGTGTGTTGTACACTTGTTAAATCTAGCACTAGGTAGCTCCTAAAAAGCCCTTAGATCAATTAGAGCAAACTTCATTCACATATGATTGTGAGTTGGAAGTGAATGGAGGGTCAAATGCTGACCGGACGCTGGTTCTGGTGTGACCGGATGCTGGCGCAGAGTCTAGTCAGTCCATTTGATCAAGGTGAAGTCGTCTGGTATGACCGGACGCTGAGAGGTGAGTGACCCGATGCTGAGGGCCAGCGTTCGGTCGACTCCAGTAAGGTCCTAGAGAGGGAGAATCCTGATCGGACGCATCCAGTCAGTGCTGACCGGACGCTAGTCAGGTTCCGGCTACTGACCGGACGCTGAGTAGCAAAGTGACCGGACACTAGGGGTCCAGAGTCCGGTCAACATCAGTAAGGTTCTAGAGAGGGAAAATCATGACCGGACGCGTCCGGTCACAACTTAAACACTGGATTTCGGGGAGAACTGACCGGAGCGTCCGGTCAACTTGACCAGAGTGTCCGGTCACCCCGCAGAGGCATATAATAGTTTGTTTTTCAGTCGGGTGTATAAATACTTCCTCCACTCATGTGTGGGGGGTACTTTTGCTCATTCCAACAGCTAAGAAACACCTTTGAGAGTGCCAAGAAGAGCAAGGTCCTAGTGAGGTGATTGAGATTTGAGAATCTCAAAGAGAGCCCTCATTAGTGAAAGCAAGAGTAGCAAAGTGTGCATCCACCCTTCTCATTAGGCTTGTCATGGTCAAGTGAGAGTTCATGCTTGTTACTCTTGGTGATTACCATCACCTAGATGGCTTGGTGGTGATTGGGAGTTTGGTGATCATCCGACGAAGCTTGTGGATGACCTAACTCAAGTTGTGAGTGGTTGTGGGTGATTCACCGTGACGGAGTGTCAAAGAATCAACCCGTAGAGAGCACTTGATTCTTGCGCGGATCAAGGGAGAGCTACACCCTTGCACGGGTGCTCCAACGAGGACTAGTTGGGAGTGGCGACTCTCCGATACCTCGGCAAAACATCGCCACGTTCCTCCTTCTCTCTTTACTTTGAGCATTTACTTTGAGCAATTCAATTCTTGTTATTTACATCCATAGAATTGTCATGCTATAGTAGGATTGGAACTTAGGTTGCTAAACTTTTGTGCGGTAGATCAATAGAAACACATTCTAGGCATAAGGGGTTAATTGGGCTAACCGTAGGGTTTAATTATTGAAAGAAATTTAGAATTAGCCCAATTCACCCCCCCTCTTGGGCATCTTGATCCTTTCAGTGCTAATGCGTTTCTCTCATGTTAGCACTTGGGTTCGGTTAGTTTGAGCACTTGAGACTTATTTATGATTCGTATTGTATCTCCCTTAATAGTACGACATACCTATACTCAAGATTAAGAGAATATAACCATTTCAACCACTTGAGTCTTCAATGTCTTCATATGACATTTCTTCTCAAATTGCTTTATAAGGGATTGCAATCAACTTTGTCTCCTCTCTTTGAGCAAACATACCTTGAGCATGTGACTTAAACCATTTCCATATATATGAGTTCACCTAATGGCTTCAAGTCACTTCTACTAATGATTTGATCATCAACACAATATGACTCCTCATAACTCAATTAGTTCCTCGACTCAATGCAAGTACTCACTTCTTCACCTTAGCCATGGTACCTCGGTCCTCAAGCCATTGCTTGTCCTTCACCTTCGGTTAGTCCCTCAAACCCTTTCCTTGCTATCTTCACCCTATCGAGCCATACTCTAGTCATATCATATTAAGCATCCATTAAAAAACCATTTATTCAATATTATGATCCTTGCTTGAATATCTTCTAAATATGAATGTTGGGATCAATCAAGCTTTAGTTGGATTCACATAGATTGAGATATATGAATCAATATCAATATGGTCAAGCCAATTAATGATTTCTTATGTCCTCTTCATTTTGGCTTGACACTCTTAACACTCACTTCAATATCTATCTTCGTACTTCTAGCTTGATCAAATCAATGTAAAGTGATTTTCCAAATCTTTATCCATACAAGCAAACCAACATAGAGACCGACTTATATCCAAATGAGTTGTGTCCTTTGTCATTTAACCTTTGCTTGATATTTCTTCACTTATGCATTCTAGAGTCATTCATCAATCCTTGATCAAAGCTAATCCACTATCAAACTCTTCTTGTTCATGCAAAGCAAGCCATTATTGAGACCAAATGACCATTCCAAAATCATCAACTCATGTCTCATTTACCATTTGTGAAATATGCTTGCTTTCTAATGATACTATGATATCCCACAACATATAAGCCATTTCATTAAACTCCATTTGCATTGTTGTCTTTTTCTTGAACTATATTATTTCCATGATCTTCCAACACAACGATACATAATTTTTGCCTTCATTTGAACATGATGTGGAATATCGCCAAGTTTGCCTTCTTGTTGAACCTATATACATTTCTCATTCCACCATCCACAAGTGTATGCAATAAACTTAAATTTTCTATTCAACACTTAGCAAACTTGTTAAACCTTTAATGGTGTTGTCATTCAATTCACCAAAACCCACTAAAGGGCTAGATGCACTTACACACCGCCGCCTCTCCGAGAGAACGAAATGCCGAACTGTGTAGACTCATGTACAAGAGCCAACAAAATCAGACTCCACCTTTGTGCACTTGTCGACGGCACCGGAGCAAAGCACCGCCAAGACGAGGAAGAGCACGAGAGGACCTTATTCCTTGACGCTGACGCCAACGCCGGAAACCTAAACCTAGATCCACTAGGACCTCTACCACCGACCGGCAAGGGACCAGTGATCTCCACTGCCTCGCGAAGGCCCAAGGACCATCGGAGGCAAGGAAGACCTCCCCTCCCTAGGCAGAGACCGGTGCGCTCTCTTCCTCCTCTCTCAACTATTTGGAGGGCAGAGTTCCAAAGTTTTCATGATTAGGTCCTTGCAAAATCTCACATTTATCTAAGATATCTCTTGAGGGTTTCCCAAGTAACCCCCTAAAATAGTAAAATTCTCCAACCGTGCATATTTATTTACTCTTAAGAGAGCCGTTGGCTCCTTGTGGCGTCGACATGCGGCTCATCTACTTTCCGGCGCTCCTTGTGGCGTTCCTGCGCTTTTGCACCTTTTGACACCTCCAGTGTTGTCTACTGCTGATTGCCTAGAGAGTTTGTCCGGTCCAATAGTTCCACTGCGCTTGCCACGTTTATTCTCTCTGCTTTCTCTCTCGGGCCAATGGACCTGTTTGTTTCCACTTCTCCTAGCCACGCTTGATTATAATCTAAGCGAAGATTTTCTCGCTTCTCGCTTTTCGCTTCTCGTAGTTCAAATTTCTAAAACAGCTTACCACGTAAGCGAGAATCAGTGAAAATAAGTAAAGCCGTTTGGCAGGAATCTCGTTTATTTCCACCAACAAGCCGCTTATAAGCGGAAACAAACGGGCCACGGGCCAATGACAACAGCTCATTTGCTTCTCTCTCTCAAGAGCAGCAGCCGAGGCACCTGCGCGGCAGCCCTTGCTCGAGCAACCTGGCGCGACGGTGGACTGATGCAGGAGGCCCCCGGCACGGTTGCCTTGGTCGTGGGAGGCCCGGCATGGGCGGGCCCACAAGAGGCCTCCCGCTTGGCTGCCCTGACGCGAGCGGGCGTCCCAGCATGGCGTCCCCTGCTCGTGACATGGCGCCGAACCAGCGCAGGAGGCCCCCGGCGCGGCAGTGCAACAGCGCGGCGGCCCCGATCACGGGCGCCCCGGCACGGGTGGGCCCGACACGGGAAGGGTTCCGGCGCGAGCGAACCCGATCGTCGGCATCTCAGCACGGTGGCCCTTGGCGGCAGGTGCGGGGCCCTCGTTTCAGTAGGCGGCCTGCATCAGCGCCGCGGTGGCAGCAGCGGAGTTGATGCCCTTTCTTGGCTCTTCTCCATGCCAGTTGGATTGCTCGTTGGCGGCTGCTCCGGCGACTGTGCGACGTGCTTCAAGCATTTTGCCGCCTCTCCGCTCCCCTTCTTTTCTCAGTGTCCAAAGTGGCTGCTAGCCGGCTACCGCTCCGGTGATTCCTCGACCAGATCACTGTCGGGCTGGGTGGATCCGTTTTCCCCCAATCGATCTATGCACAAAATCAGGTGCGAGGTCATCTTGGAGGCCAGGAAGCAGCGCTGGCAAGGAGGATGGTTGCGGGGCAGACACCATGCTTGCGACGCGGAACAGGCGACCAACAATGGCGTGCTGTGCGCATGGTGCCCGAGACGCGAAGTGGGGCTCACTGGCCACACGACGGAGTGGCGACCAGGTGGAGTATTGAGACGACTGCCCCGATAATTCAGTCTTGTATTTACAGCAGTGGAGTGGGTTTTTTTTGTTGTTGTTGTTGTGGGAATGGAGTGGAAATTATGTATACACACGTGTGGCACGTCTTCAAAGAAGAGGGTCATGTAAACTATTTACAATACGGTATATGAACGAGCAAGGCTATGTATCCCAAGGTATTTGTACATGGTGCTGATGTCATAAACTAAGCACGGAGCTTGTTAAGGTTATGTGTTGTTCTTGTTGCCTCTGTACCCAATGGAGCAATGCAGGAAGTACAGCAGGTTCACCACGCCAAGAACAGCCATTAACCAGAAGAAATAGTCCAGGTGCCCCTTGTTGAGGTCGTCGGGGATCCACCCTGGTTTCCCGTTGCGCGTCGTGACGGCGGCGACGGCAGCAAGCACTGCAGAGTTGAAGTAGCTGCCGGCCGCGACAGCTAGGTACGCAATGGCCGTGCCAAGGCTCTTCATGCCGTCCGGCGACTGATCGTAGAAGAACTCAAGGATGCCGATGTTCGTGAACACTTGCGCCGCGCCAAGCACTGCGAATGCCGGCGCCTGCCACATGATGCTCATCGACGGCTGCCTCGCTGCCGTGCTACGGGCGAGAGACAACCGCCTCCCTTCAACCAGCGCTGCGTATACCATGCCGGCCACGGACAGCCCGAGGCCGATGCCCAGCCGCTGCAGCTGCGACAGGCCTCGCTCCTTGCCTGTGGCCCGCCGGGCTAGAGGCACCAGCACGGCGTCGTAGAGGGGGATGCAGACCATGACGCTGATGACTTCGAAGGTGGCGAGGGACGCGGGCGGAACGGTGAACGGCCCGACGTGGTTGTCCATGGTTGTGCCCTGCTCGATGAACGTGGACGACATCAGCGCGTTGGCGGCAAAGAAGAGCACCATGGACGCCCACACGAGGAACATCCGGAGCAGCATTTTGAGCTCCTCAACCTGCGACACCGTGCAAAGCCTCCATGGAGTCGTTGCGCCTTTCTTGCTGGAGGATGGCGCTACAATGTGTCATGGTAGAGGCCAAGATGAGAGAAGCCATGAAGACGAACAGGCCTAGGAAGCGAAACACCAGAGTCACAGGCCCAGAATGGAGTACGAAGACACGCCCAGCTGCGTCTGGAGAATCGCTGTGTTTCCTAACAGCTGTAATAGCTATATCAGAGAGGGGAGAGGAGAGGGGAAACTCGACTTGGTTGTTGCCGGAGTAGTTGGCGGCGAGCTGCGGCTCGAGATGGCCGGCGGCAACCTTGCCCACCGGAGCTTGTAAACTCCATACTATCTAGTTCTAAATCAGATTCATATTAGTACCATAGTAGTATCGTTACACAACGGCAGCCTTGTCAAAGAACCTGGACATGCATGAACTCATTTTCTATATTTTTAATTCCGATTCAGCTATATATATTAGTAGGATACAGCATGGACTCTTCAGTTTCATTTTGTATCACTGGTGACCGATTTTTTATTTACATGAAAAAATGCAATACTCAGTAGACAAAAATATCTGGATCTATTTGATTACCTGAACTGACTTGTATGCTGAATCCTGCAATTTCCTTCCGTTGTGGAAGGCACCTCATGCAGAGCAGAGCAGTCTTCAGGCAACTCCAAATGGTAGTTCCTCACAGCTGCAACAACCACCTGAGAGACCGTAGTCAGAGGACTCCCTCCCACTTTCTGATACCTGTAAACCTTCCTACCGGCGACGAACACGGGCAGCCCAGTCAGCATGAACACCGCCGAGATTGCAAACCCGAGTCCCCACCCAATGTTGTCCTGCACCCAGACGATTACAGTCGCCGATAGCAGCTGCCCAATGTTGATAGAGAAGCAGTACCAGTTGAAGAATGAGCCCTTTTTCACCCGCTCCACTGGGTCGGCTACGTCAAACTGATCGGCAAGGGCAGAAACACATGGCCTGATGCCGCCGTCACCAAGAGCGGCAAGGTAGAGACCCAGATATGCGGTGGTACGATGAATGCCGCGGTTGTAGGAGGAGCCCATCAGCAGTGGGAGAAACGCTGATACAGTCAGGGTGAGCATCCCCTGACAAATCAGAGACATTCAGAGTTTGAAATGGAGTAAGTGCATTGCTTGCTCTAGTTTTTAGAGTAACTTACAACTGCGTAAACAGAGAGGAAGACCACTACTGTCCAATATCGTCCCCAGAATGTGTCAGCCAAGAAAGCTCCGATGAGCAGTGTGAAGAACGAAGTGCCGGTCCAGGTGGACACGGTTGTCGCAGCATCGACGTTGCTCTCGTGGAGGACACACATTCAGTGAATTCAGCACCTGATTAAGTCATGTTCAACTCAGCAGCTTAGTTATGTTTGTTAAAGAATGAACACAAAGTAAGCAATTCTTGTTTTAGAATGTGGAGTACTTATAATTAAGAAGCAGGCCCTCCAATTCCCCGTGCTCCGCTTAGGAGCACGCTGGTTGTTAATGTCAACTGTCCCATCGCAAGTGAATTCTGAACTTCCGTCCTGAACGGCAGAGCCAGAAGAAAGTTTGTTAAGGTACCAATAAAAAACATTTGCACAACCTTTAAGATAATCTATCTGTACGTGTTGTAGTTGACACTTTGACAGGAGATAATATGGTAAGGTTCTCAAAGATGTAGCAGTACCACCTGTGTGGGCAGGTGATGAATCAGTGGCCTTTAAGATAATCTCTTTTTCTTTGAGGGATTGAGAAAAATTGGAGCGAAAGGAGATTTAGAAATGGGATCCGGCGCAGCTAGATTTTTTTCTACTAAATCCCCTTGTTCATTGGTTATGGGGAAATGTGACTGAGTTTTTTCTCCATTTACTAGAGATGCTCTTAGTTCAAACACGAGGATAGATCAACATTTGTTATACACTATGCCAAATAAACACAAAGGAGACATCTAATTTAGTGACCTGAAAATAGACTAGTCTAGTTAAAACGCATCGCATGTGTCTTTTACGAGTGACGTAGCTCAAGAATATGAGTCTATGATAGACTTGTCTCTGCTAGAGCTACTATATCTCTAAGGAGTCGTGTCAGACGGACCGAAAAAACAATAGATTTCGGTTGATGGATGACTCAAGTCCAGAATCCAGCCCGTCACCCTTCCCCTCAGTCTCTCCATGTCCGTTGTCCTCCTTGGCCCCTCAAGCCCTCCTTGGCTCCTCCGCTCTCTCTCTCTCTCCTTCTCCCCCGCATCTTCTCTGTCCTGCCCTCAGGGGCATGCCCTCCACCTTTGTTGTCCCTTGGTCGCTGCCGGTGTGCTCCGCGATGCCAACGCCACTCATGTTGTCTGCAGCTCCGCATCGGCGATGGATTCATCAAGATTGATCTTTTTGACTCAATAATATAATAAACCAAGTCACTAGCTACTTCCTTTTTCACATTTTTGTGTTTGCCTGTTCAGACTGGTGATACGTGTGCCACTCTATGTTTTTGTGTTTATAGTAGGATAATATGACAGGATTTAGTGAATTTATATGGCTGGTAGAAAAGTGTATTCTCCCTTTCATTCCTTCATTTTTGGATGTTTTTCTTTGGGGGAGGGTTTGATGGGGGAGGGGGGTCTATAGTAGTGGGGGCTATGGATTTGGCATAACTTGAGAGTTCCCTTGGTCCAAAATCAAATCAGTTGTAGTAATGTAAATTTTGATCGACTGGTTTAGTGCCAAATGCTCATGCCAGGATTAATATGAAAGTACTCAGTTGTGATTGCCTATACAAGCATGCTTCCTGCTGTTGTGATTTGTGAATATGTTAATATGGAGGAGCAAATTTGACCTGTATGGATCCTACTGATAGCTTGTAATTTTGGCAAATTCAAAAATTTGCTATGAGATGTTACTTGGTAATTTTTTGCTTGCCTCCGAGCTTACTAGTGTACCTACTTATCTGTGGACAGAGAAGCTTGTCTCAGGCTGAAGAATGTTAGCTGCAAGTACTAGGATCTTCAGTTCTCATTCACATTTTTGTTTTAAACTTAAGTGTATGTTTGTCTTAACTTTGCAGGTATTGGTGACCTGCTGGGACTCCTCATTCACATTTATGTTTGATACTTAAGTGTATGTTTGTCTTAACTTTGCAGGTAATGGTGAGCGGCTGGGACTCCGGCAAGGATGCTGGCAGCTTCACAGTGGCATGGGAGTAGTCTTCACGGCTTTAACTGAGATTTCTTCACAGTCCTAGCACAGTGTACTCTTTCTTGACAACTCTATTGTCCTATTTAGATGGAATTGAAATTGTGAATCCCGTATTGAATGAGTTAAGCAAATAGTAATATTAAACATTTTCTTCATGTTGTGTGAATTTATTTGTTATTTTGCTAATGTTCAGGGTCGGATGTATATAAAGACTGTGCTCAAGATTTTTCTTTTTTTGTTTTTTAAATTGTTATTAGTGACGCGGCAAGCCAAAATGAGTCTCTGATGAGATCCTTATCAGAGACGCGTTTTGCCTGTACATGCCACTGTAGAAGGGTTATCTGTGATGCGTTTTAACTATATGTGTCGCTGCTAAAGGGTCATCAGTGGCACGTTTTAACTAAACGCATCACTGGTAAAGGGTCAGCCATGACGTGTTTTTATGTGTCACTTATGTGTCCACATTAGAGATGCAATATAAGTGACGCGTTTTTTTCGGCGTCACTAATATCTGTCTAGCCACATCTCTAATATGAAAATCTAACATAGTGATATACTGTAGTAGGGATGTCAACAGAGAATTTCCCATCGAGGGATAGCTCCCCAATCCTGACCCCATGAGGAGAAAAATTCTCCATCGTGTTTACCTCAAAACGCTCGTGGGGGATCTTCTTCCCCGTTCCCATCCCCATTACAAAATACAGTATTTAAAGAGCAAAAGTAAATCTATGATGACAAATCAATAAATTTAAATTAAACAAGCAATATTTTATCTAGTGAAGGGTTTAGTTTACTATTTATACTAGACTATGTGATGAGTTTTTTGTGAGATTTTAAGAAGCCAAAGGTCTAATTTAAGTGAGAGCTTTTCGCAGGTCGAGTACTAGGGAACGAGGACAGTTTCTAATTCCCATCCTCGCGAAATCCAACGGGAACTAATTATCAAACTCTACAGGGATTAAATTGTCTCGTCCCATCCTCCAATATGGGAGTTCCCTGCGGGAAAAAATAATAGTAGCAACACTAAAACTAAATAAGACAACATCCACAAATAGCTTGGTTCATAGATACACAATTAATGGACGTCTACTCAAATCTATGAATTAACCTGGTCCTGGTGAATTGGATCAAATATATTTTCTAGGCGTCGATTGCCACTGGCTAACTCTCTCGTGTCATCTTCGTTTCCCAACAGATTCAATAAAACATATTGTCATGTGACTCTCTAATTGATGGAAATGAAGAGACCCTCGCCCGTTTACCTAATGATTGACTGAACCACGTGTGTTAAGCTGAGCTCCTGAATTATTGTACAATAATATGATTATAATCTAGGATCAGAGAGTGTCATCTATTTTCTATACTCCTATGTGGCATGGTTTGACATTCATCATGAGTAGACATGTTTGGATCTTATTTGATTACCTGAACTGTCTTGTATGCTGAATCTTGCAATTTCCAGGCACCTCATGCAGAGCAGAGAAGTCTTCAGGCAACTCCAAACGGTAGTTCCTCACAGCTGCAACAACCACCTGGGTGACCCTCGTGAGAGGACTCCCTCCCACTCTCTAGCACCTGTAAACCTTCCGACCGGCGACGAACAAGGCAGCCCAGACAGCATGAGCACTGCTGGGATCGCGAATCCGACTCCCCACCCGATGTTGTCCTGCACCCAGACGATCACGGTCGCCGATAGCAGCGAGCCAATGTTGATGGAGAAGTAGAACCAGTTGAAGAATGAGCCCTTTTTCACCCGTTCCACTGGGTCGGTTGCGTCAAACTGATCGGCACCAA